TTGGCAAAAAATTATAGGCCAGTTGCACTAACATCACACATAATAAATGTTTGAAAGAGTGATTAGGAATCAAATTTCTAGTTTTATGGAAAATGAGTTAAACAACCCAGGACAACATGGATTTAGAGCAGGAAGATCCTGTCTGTCACAGTTACTCTACTCTAATCACTATGACAAAATCACAGAAGCTCTAGAAGAAAAGCAAAATGGAGATGTAGTATACACAGACTTTGCAAAGGCATTCGACAAATGTGATCATGGAGTGATTGCACACAAAATGAGGTCAATGGGAATAACTGGTAAAGTAGGACGCTGGATACTCAATTTCCTGTCGAACAGAACACAAAGAGTAACAGTCAATCAAATAAAATCAAGTCCAAGCGCAGTTAAAAGGTCTGTACCTCAAGGTACAGTCCTTGCACCACTGCTGTTCCTTATTCTCATATCAGATATAGATAAAAATACAAGTCACAGCTTCATGTCATCCTTTGCAGATGACACAAAAATCAGCATGAAAATTACCTCTGCTGAAGATATGGAAAAATTATAAGCAGATATCAACAAAGTTTTCGACTGGGCAGCAGAAAATAATATGATGTTTAACAGCAATAAATTCCAGGTACTCAGGTACGGCAAAAATGAGGACCTGAAACATACTACTGGGTACAAAACACAATCGAATCTGCCCATAATAGGTAAACAGCATGTCAAGGATTTGGGAATAATGATGTCCGACGATCTAACGTTTAGGGAGCATAACCAAGCAAATATTGCGTCAGCCAGAAAAATGATAGGATGGATTACGAGAACTTTCAAATCCAGGGATCCCATCACGATGGTTGTACTCTTCAAGTCACTTGTGTTGTCCCATCTCGAGTACTGTGCAGTACTCACTTCCCCCTTTAGAGCAGGAGAGATTGCTGAAATTGAGGGAATACAGAGAACATGTAAGGCATGCATAGACGCGATAAAGCACCTAAATTATTGGGATCGTCTCAAAGCTCTCCAAATATACTCACTAGAAAGGAGACGAGAGAGATACCAAATAATATACACATGGAAAATACTGGAAGGCCAGGTCCCTAATCTACACAGTAAAATAACAACGTACTGGATTGAACGATATGGAAGAAAATGCAGAATAGAACCGGTGAAGAGCAGAGGTGCCATAGGCACAATCCGAGAACACTGTATAAACATCCGAGGTTCGCAGCTGTTCAACGTCCTCCCAGCGAGCATCAGAAATATTGCCGGAACAACCATGGACATCTTCAAGAGAAAACTAGACTGTTTTCTAAAAGACGTTCCGGACCAACTGGGCTGTGGTGGGTATGTGGGCCTGCGGGCCGCTCCAAGCAACAGCCTGGTGGACCAAACTCTGACAAGTCAAGCCTGGCCTCGGGCCGGGCTTGGGGAGTAGAAGAACTCCCAGAACCCCATCAAGCAAGTATCAAGCAGGTATCAAGCGTACAAACCTACCATCAGTATCAAAAGAACAGCAACCTCTGAGCCGGAGGAGAGCCGGAAGCTCCCCGACCCGACCCACAGAGGACAATGCCAACAAAGCATGGCCTTTGAAAAACAATCTTGAACCAAAGGGGCTTCCACAAACTGAGGAGAGGAAGGATAAAAGGGCACCCTGATCAAGGACCAGGATGGCTCAGGCGGCGCATGAGCAGACTGGAGGTGAAACTACACGAGAAACGTACGGAACGGGGCGGATGTGACGTCCACCCCGAACACAAGCCGGAGCGGCTCCGCCAGTGCCGCACAATATGAGGCAACAGTAAGAAGCATCAATTAACAGTCCTGAAAAACCCAAGAAAGGACAAGACATCCCGATGAGAAAGTGAAGACAACCAACGAAGAGCAAGAAAATAGCGAATAGAAACGCCAGGAATGTCATACTCTCGCCGAGACGAAGCTCGTAGGTTGGACACCATCAACTAAGCCACCTGATCATCTACACCCGCGTCAGCTCTGCTGACGCGAAGAGCTGAGGAGAAGGCCGATCCAGTCACGTACAGGACCAGTTCGACCTGCCGAAACAGGCGAAGCCGCGGGAAACGCCTCTGGTTCGGACACCTATCAAGCAGCGTCTGAAAACAAAGCTGGGCCGGCCACCAAGAGACCACGAGGACTACTCTCCTTGGGAAGGACTCCAACTGAGCCAGAACCCGAGCAACAGCTGGACTGGGAGAAGAGGTAACTCCACCTCGACCAGTCCTGCTGAAGGAATCCACCGTGAACACCTCGCAGGCGGATAAGGGCGCCACATAGAAGGGAGATGCCACCTTGATGCCATAACCAGAACAACACCAATCCCTACCCAAGGCCAAACAACGGCCTCAAGCCCCAGCTGGCCCCAAGGGCGAGGCAAATGCCGAGCAGCAAGAACCCCTACGGGAATGGTCTCCGAATGCCCCAGGGAAGATAACTCTGTCACGCAGGGGCAGTACTCACAGGGCATGCAGCTTGGCATGCAGCCCCGGTACTGATGAGGAACACCTGGCCACCGCACAACACAACATACGGCAGTGAATGCCACGAAGGCAAACACCGCCTAGGAAACTGAGGCCAGAGAAGCGTCTGTCCCAGTTGACATTAGCTTATGAACTGGTGCTAGGGACCCCCCCTCCCCCTCTCGGGGCGGGGAGGGTTGCGCGGACAATCGGTGCGGCAGTAAAGTGTAATGTTTGCTTGTTTCCTTGGGATTGTAGGAAGTTTCTACCTTTGTTCGTTTTTTTGTTTTCGTTTCTTACCATGTGGGGTTTTGTTTTGTTATGCCTACCTATCTGGGTGCCTAACCCCGGTCGATGGTGGATAAGGAAAAACCCCAACCACAAGGGGGTTTTCCAGGGTCATTGCTTCCTGAAACCTCTCTGAAGGGGCCAGGTTCTGGCGCTGATCCCCTGGTAGATCTGAACTCCATAGCTAATGTCCCGGTCTAATATAACATACCTTAGCCCGATAAGCTCCAGAGAGCCGTAGGGGCTCCCCACCAAAAAACTCTTTATGGATACTGGTTATTTCCTTTTTTGGGGGGGGGGGAAGGAGTACTCAGAAAACTCGGCAGAACAAAAAGGCTGAACTGTATCCATCCCCAAACCGAAAGGGGTAACCCCCTCCCGTTCGAGCCATGCCCCAAAGAAAAACTCCATCCCTAACCCTGAACCCGCAATGGTGCCAGAGGTAGAGGGTAGAAAAAGAAGAAGGAAAAATGAGGCATATAAAAAATCACACCACCAAGTCCAAGAGACAAACATCAACAGGCAGCCCCGGAGCCTCCAAATGTGTGCACAACCCAGACTCGAGTAACCTAGAAACCAAAGATACATGAAGTCACAGTAATCCTCCTCTAGATGGGAGATTGGAGTGCAACACAAAGGGAACAACCCCTACTTGATTCAGGTCCAAAGGGGTCACAGATCAAACAGGCAGCAACAGAGGCAAATGAACCGAGTGTCGCCACGAAGCACGAATAACAACCCAGAAACTCGCTTGAAGCGTGAGCGAGGGCAGTAGGAGGACCACAAGGACCCCTGAACCAGCAGGGAGGTTTTACATGGCCTGCAGGGTGAGTATTCCCAGCAGGTATGCCCAGGCACTGGGAATGCTATGTCGGTAACTCCTACATATAGTGGTACCTCGGTTTAAGAGTTTAATCCGTTCCTGGAGACAGCTAGTATTCCGAAAACTCATAATCCGAAGCTAATTTTCCCATAAGAAATAATGGGAAATGAATTAATCCGTTCCTAACAAAAAACCACACTTCAAACTAAATTTTATACCTAATTTATCTAAATAAACCTACAAACTATGTTCAAGTTATTACTTACCCTTGCTGATGAATGCTATTGGCGTATGGAAGATGGTGAGGAGGGGGGAGGAGGAGAGGTGTTACTGTTTGGAAGGGGAGTCAGCTTACATTATAACATCAGGCAGTGAGACCTCTCTGGGGTGCACTCCCTGGCACGTTTTGCCTGCATACCACTAGGACTTGCTTGTCTTACTAAGAATCTGTCTAAAGACACTTGTTTTTCCCTACATTTTAACACTTGTCTGTAGTAAGACATCACTTTGTCATTTAAAAGGTCAATGCAACGACCTGCTACAGCTTTATCTGGGTGAGTTTTTTCAACAAAACTTTGCAGTTCTTCCCATACTTCACACATTTTCTTAATGAAGAAGGGACATCCTCTACTGCCTCTACTCACAGCTATTTTCTTAGGTTGAACTTTACCACTGGCTTTCTTGAGACCCATGGCGAGATATATAACAACAACTTTTATGCTCAATTGCCAAAAAAATACACGACAAAAAACTGTAAATCCTTGCGAAGAATTCAAGCGGGATAGTCACTGGGCGCGAGGCACTGGTAAACTGAGGCGCGATCGTCGTGCTACCACACGCTAGTCGGCCTGTACGCGTATCAACACCCTCGTCTTCTGAGGCAAATTGTCCGAGCAAATCCTGCTCGTATTCCAAGAAACTCGTATATAGGGACACTCGTATTCCGAGGTACCACTGTACTTATATAGGCAACCCTGATACCCAGTGCCAGTGGAACAGGCAAGAGAGAAAACCAAAAAGAGAATGATTCACACCAAGACACTATTTAAAACCAAAAAGTAGCAAAATTTGCCGATAGGGAACCTTGTCGGCAAACCTCGTTTTACTCAGGCCACTTATGGGGCCTTCAATAAAACCCCTTAAGTGGCAAATGGGTACAAAAAGGCTTTCTGGATGCCTTTCCTAGTGGATGGCAGATATGAATAAATTTTATAACATTTTATCAAATGTGTCACTGCTCCGTGTGCCTCTCTTGAGGGGGCCAGGTTGTGGCCTATGGTTCACAGTAGACTTAAAATAACTCTGACTAATGGCACTTTTTAGTCTGACACTATATCAGCACAGTAGCTTCAAGGACTCACAAGGGGCTCCCCTTAGAAAACATCTTATTTCAGAGTACTGTAATATTTTTTATCTTACAATTTCAGGATTTGTAACAACAACACGAGTGACACATGCCACACCTGCTGCCCTCTATGCTCACTCTCCTAACCGTGAATGGGAGTGTGATGCAAAACTTGGAAAACTTGGACATGGCTGTAGAGATATTGCAAAGCAGCTAGTTGAGGATGCTCCAGGAAGAGATGTTAAGGTAAGGTACCACCACATCTAGCTATAGCCAAAATGCCTCATTCCCTCCCAAAATCTATGAGATTTTCAACATTAATTTATCAGTGACCCACACCAGTACAATGAAAGGTATAATTATCTTACTCATTTTTGGTTGTGGTATTTGTGATGACTCCTTGGTGGTTTCCTTAGCCATAGTCTGGATCCATCCAGGACACAGCCTATACACATGACTGTAGTCAACTTTTAATCACACTCCGTGACGAGGAACCTTGCATATGGTTTTAAAACAGTATTTTCTATGAAAATATTATGACAAAAAAAAAACACTTGTCTAGGAATAATGTGAATAAATCATTGGATGTGGTTGAACTGATGATGAAAAAAGAGGAAAAGCACAAAAGAGTCACGTGAGACATCATGAACAGACCTAAGAGGCAAGCACCTGCAGGGCATGAAAAGCACCCTACAATTATGGGACCTGGTATAAGGGTGAGCCAGGAAGGGGTAACAGAAAAGATCATGTATCGTCACCCCAGCTGCCTGACGGGGTGATGATGCATTCCTTGATCAACAGAACATTATGAAACATAAGAAATGTTTCATAATGTAGTGTATCTCTGATACACACTTCAAACATCATCTATAAGGGTGGAAAGGCAATGCCGAGTACAGTAGAAACTCGAGTGACGACCACCTCAAATGGTGAGCAATTTGGGTAACAAGCGCCTCGATCGCCGACAATTCGTCTCATTAGGCGAGCGCTTGTTTGAATAATGTCAACACCACATGATGGGGTCGCGCTGCTTCCAGCACATTGCCAACCGCCGCCTCAGACGACAGTGTTGTTGTGGTGTCGCACACGACCAGTATCCCTCTGCATCGTTCCGCATATAATTGTGGGTTTTGTTTGGGTTTGTGACTACACTTCGTAACGTACGATGTTGGCAAAGAAGCAGCTTGCTAAAGAAAGTGTTGGCAAGGGGAATTAAGAGCCAATCACTGTGGACGTGAAGAAGGAAATCATAGCAAAGGACGAGCGTGGTGTTCATGTGACTGATCTCGCCAGGAAGTATGGCAGGTCTTCCTCAACAATTAGCACCATTTTGAAGAGGAAGGAACAATTTAAGACGCTTCACGTGGCCAAAGGAGTTACCAAGGTTACCAAGAAACGTCCAAAACTCCTAGATGATGTTGAAAGGCTGGTCTGGATGAATTAACGTCAATTACTTGGAGATAGTGTCTCTGAAGCTATTGTTTGTGCTAAGGCAAGGGTGCTGTATGTGGACCTTGTCAGGAACATACCAGGTGCGTCGTCAGAAGATGAGGAGTTACTTAAGGCAACCCGTGGATGGTTCGAGAACTTTAGGAAGAGGAGCAGTATTCACAATGTTGTGCGACATGGGGAGGCTGCCAGCTCTGATAAAGCTGCTGCCGAGACTTTTGTGCCACAGTTCCAGAAATTTGTTGATCAGGTGCAGTTCCTGCCCCAACAGGTTTTCAATTGTGACGAGACTGGGCTGTTTTGGAAAAAATTGACTAAGAGGACTTACATCATGCAAGAGGAATAATCGTTGCCTGACCACAAACCGATGAAGGATAGGCTCACCCTCATGCTCTGCGCCAATGCAAGTGGCAATTACAAGGTAAAGCCGCTGCTTGTCTATCACTCTGAAAATTCACGTGTGTTCAAGGCATGTAAGGTGTACAAGACACGGCTGAATGTGATGTGGAGGTCCAACAAGAAGTCCTGGGTCACGCGGATCTTCTTCAGTGAATGGGTAAATGATTTTTTTGACCCCACAGTGAGGAATCATCTCGTCGAGAAGCAGTTACCACTCAAGGCCTTGCTTGTGCTCGATAATGCACCTGCGCATTCTCCACAAATGCAAGATGACCTGTTCCCGGAGAATCAGTTCATCACCATCAAGTGTCTTCTTCCAAACACCACTCCACTCCTCCAACCCATGGACCAGCAAGTCATTCCTAACTTTAAGAAGTTGTACATGAAGGCTTTGTTGCAGAGGTCTGTTCATTTGACAGACACCACAGAGCTAACCCTCCAACAATTCTGGAAGGACCACTTCAATATAATGGGGGCCTTGCGTTTGATTGATAAGGCCTGGGAAGGAGTGTCACGGAGGACCCTACACTCTGAATGGTGAAACCTGTGGCCATAGGGTGTCCCCAAGCAAGACTTCGAAGGTTTCGGTCCTGCACCTGCATCCGCACCTGTAGATGACCCGACGCGCTTTTAGTGGATGATATTGTTGCTCTGGGGCAAACATTGGGTCTAGAGGTGGAGGCTGCTGATGTGCAGGAGTTAGTGGAGGAGCACAGTGATGAACTAACCACTGAGGAACTCTCATCAGAAGAGGAGGAGGTATGGGAGGATGCTGTCCTGTCCAGTGAGATCAGAGATGTGTTGGGAATGTTCGAAAAGGTGACTGCATTCGCGGAAAAACATCACCCTGAAAAGGCGGTGACAACACGTTGCATGAACATGTTTAATGACAATGTGCTGTCTCAGTTTAGGGACATCCTAAAACGTAGACAACACCAAGTGGCACTCGATACGGTCTGTGGAAAGGGTGAGAAAAGACGTTCAAGTGAGTGAACCACAACCCGGTCCCAGTGGGGTTAAATTCTCAAAGAGAGAGAGCCCGCCTGACCCACAGGTGGAGTCTCCCTCCACACCGTAACCCCTCTCCTCCTTCCCACCTCCCGATCGTCTCCCTCAAGTCAGCAACGACTCTTCATAATGTAAAGTGAATATACAAATGGGAACAGTCAAACAAAACATTTATTTAACATGTACAGTATCATATTACCATTGTATAATGTCATACTGTTGTTTTTGGGTCTGGAACGGATTATTTCTATTTACATTATTTTCAATGAGGAACTTCATTTTGAATGACGTCCGTTTCACATGATGGCCACGGCGCCGGAACGGATTAAATTTGTTATTCGAGGTTCCACTGTACTTTAATCCACTTCCATGCGATTGTTTGTTATGAGACAAAAGAACAGAGACAAACCTTAACACCACTTACAAGTAATTATGAGGGTCATAAAGAGTCATAATTATTGCTTGAACTTCTGAATAACAACTACCAGCTACATTGGCAGCCATCAGGTGACAGCACTAGCTCTCACAACAGGGTCGGAGGAGACAGCAAACCTCAGATTTTGTCAGGTGTCTACACTCAACTCTACAAATACTGATTAAGTTAACTGATTATTTGGTTATTATTTTAGATTTTGTCTCTGTACAGGCAGAGTGGTCCGAGGTTTAGCATGCACTTCACGGTGTTGTGCCCAGGATTCACCAAGGATACTATTGAGGGACAAATCAATTAAGTATGACTAATTTGTGAACATTCCAAACACTGACAAGGTACTGTCAAGGATCTCACTTAAGCTTAATTTTCCTTCACTGTTGTAGTGTAGGATACAAAGAAAGCACTTTAACAGGACATACAAGTAGCTAAATTGTCTGTACAGTATATCTATAAACAGACAATGTATCCACATCTTAGAAATATATATCTAAACAGGAAGATTATCTATATACAATCACCAGGAATTAACAACAGGTTAAATTTATACAGAACAGTAGATATTTCATAAATTAAATTATATATACTTTTATTTCACATTTCTTAACACTTGTAATTATGAAGGAGCATGCATTTTTTTATGAACTTGAATGTATCCTTGGTTGCTTTATTTTGTTCTGACTGGCATCCTTCCTGAGAAATCCAATGCATACTGGTCCTTCATGCAAGGCCTTCTGAGAACATGTATTTTCAACACATTTTCAGAACACAAACTATGTTGTAATTCGTTCTCAAGCATATCCTGTGCATCTCCTGTGCAAATAAAATGTGTAAATTCTGAGCTAGAAAAGACCTGCATGTGTTTTTGTCTTTTTCAGGTTATGCTAGGAGGGGGAAGATTTCCACTGGGGGCAACATCTGGAGTAGCCACTGATAAATGGAGCTGTCTACGACGTGACAATCGCAACCTAACAAACGAATGGTTACTGCAGAAAAAGGCATATGGAAATAATGCTCAATATGTACAGAATAAACAACAGCTCATGGATCTTGATACTGAAGAAACTGATTATTTAATAGGTAACTACCAACAATCTATAACACTTTGCATGGTCCAGCATGCGACCCCCAGCACATGCCAAGGTTGACCAGGCATTTCCCATGAGCGCACAACCACACTAATATGTGTATACTCTTTTTCAGTTTTCTCACCTTAATTGTTGGGAAACGTCATTCATTTTGGTGTCAAATTGTTCACAATAGAATGCTCTAAAGGGATATATGCATATAACGTCAAATGGCCCAGAGCACCACCAACAGCACACCCCAATTAGGTCGAGTTTTACTTGTGAGAGCACACCCACCACCTGCACTTGTGAGAGCACACCCACCACCTGCACTTGTGAGAGCACACCCACCACCTGCACTTGTGAGAGCACACCCACCACCTGCACTTGTGAGAGCACACCCACCACCTGCACTTGTGAGAGCACACCCACCACCTGCACTTGTGAGAGCACACCCACCACCTGCACTTGTGAGAGCACACCCACCACCTGCACTTGTGAGAGCACACCCACCACCTGCACTTGTGAGAGCACACCCACCACCTGCACTTGTGAGAGCACACCCACCACCTGCACTTGTGAGAGCACACCCACCACCTGCACTTGTGAGAGCACACCCACCACCTGCACTTGTGAGAGCACACCCACCACCTGCACTTGTGAGAGCACACCCACCACCTGCACTTGTGAGAGCACACCCACCACCTGCACTTGTGAGAGCACACCCACCACCTGCACTTGTGAGAGCACACCCACCACCTGCACTTGTGAGAGCACACCCACCACCTGCACTTGTGAGAGCACACCCACCACCTGCACTTGTGAGAGCACACCCACCACCTGCACTTGTGAGAGCACACCCACCACCTGCACTTGTGAGAGCACACCCACCACCTGCACTTGTGAGAGCACACCCACCACCTGCACTTGTGAGAGCACACCCACCACCTGCACTTGTGAGAGCACACCCACCACCTGCACTTGTGAGAGCACACCCACCACCTGCACTTGTGAGAGCACACCCACCACCTGCACTTGTGAGAGCACACCCACCACCTGCACTTGTGAGAGCACACCCACCACCTGCACTTGTGAGAGCACACCCACCACCTGCACTTGTGAGAGCACACCCACCACCTGCACTTGTGAGAGCACACCCACCACCTGCACTTGTGAGAGCACACCCACCACCTGCACTCGAATATTTATACTTTTTCCAGTTTTGTAAACTCAATTTTCGTGCTACGTTGTTCATTTTGTTATCAAATTGTTCGCAATCGAAAGGCACGCATTTTAGAACTAGTCCCATAATAATCGAACAATAAATGGAATTTACAAAATATTTTATTTTTGGACACTCACCACCACACAAGCATTTATACTCTCTCCAGTTTTCTGATCTCAATTTTCATGCCATGTCATTCATTTTTTTATCAAATTGTTCGCAATTGAAATGTGTACATTTTAGAACTAGTCTATATAATCGAACAATAAATGGAATTTTAACAAATATTTAAATTTTGAACCCTTACTACTGCACAAATATTTATACTATTTCCAGTTTTCTGACCTCAATTTTCGTACTACATCATTCATTTTGGTATTAAATTGTTCACAATCAAAAGGTGCCTATGTTAATACTAGTCCCATAATGATTGGAAGACAAATGGACTTTTAACAAATATTTTAATTGTGGACGCAACATGCGTCCTTGCCTAAGAACTGTAGATTTATTTATGGACGCAATGTGTGTTCCCATCCAGGCAAAGTGTTAAGACACGTTCTTGAAATTTTAATATCAAGTAAACAATGTTGTCATAAACAATTCTTTCAAAAAGTCCTTATCAATATTATATAATGTTGTTTTTCTCAAAAAAATCTGTTAATGGTTTGTGTCTAGGTCCCCATCTTTGTGATAATACTTGGATAATTTACACTGGTGATTAACTTTCCCATTTACAGTATTCCTATATACAAGTTGCTAAGATACTAATACAAAATATATCTAAAGTATAACTCACTAGTCTTCATTCATGCTCATGTAGAACTTTCAGTTATCATTATTACGTAAATCTCTGTGCATACAATTCATATTTTTCTCAACCTAAAATGATTTTAACTGCTTTTCTTTAAACAATGTACACTTCTGGACATTTATATATAGTTACTAAAAGTGCATTATTAAACATTATGCATAGTATTGCACTTTATACACAGTAATTTAAGTTACTAAATGTTATTCTTTCTTATCAGGGCTATTCTCCGACTCCAATATGGATTACGAAATTGATCGTGACGATGGGCCCTCAGGTCAGCCAAGTTTGACTAACATGACTTCTGTGGCAATCAAGATTCTCTCCAAAAACAAGCATAAGGGCTTCTTCCTTGTGGTACATATTATTGATACACTTTTGCCTTATACAGGTAACATACCTAAAATACAGCACTGAGTGGAATGAAATGCCCATCCCAGTAGCACCTAAGGAGCTCCCATTGTTTTAGTACAGGGCCTTCCGAAGACACTGCTGGTTTGCTTAGCTTCTGAGTGTCTTTTGAACTCTGCAGTATAATTGTAACTTCAAACTGCCTTATGCCATAAAATATTGGAAGAGGAGTGAGCCTTGCTGGCTAAACAGGATCATGGGAGATGGCAATGTTCACTTTAAGCCCAGTCCACTCAAGTAAACACAGGTAATAAAGGGGTATTGGGGAGTTCTGCCAGCTTGTTCAGCTTTCAGTTTGCAATTTTTAACCAGCTGTAGTTTGTTTTGGCATTCATACCTTTCTGGGTGCCTGACCTGGTAGATGGCAGACATAGACTGCTTCCAACTACACTGGGGGTGTCTATAGGCCATTGCTTCTCGTGCCTTTCTGAAGGGGCCAGATTCTGGCTCGTGGTCACCGGTAGACTAAGAACTCCATCGACTGACTGTTGCCACAATCTAATATATATACATCAGCCTGGTATAGCTCCGGGGAGCCAAAGGGTCTCTCCAAAGAAAAATCATTTTTAACAAAAGAATGTTATAAAATTATCAACTATATAATAATCAGAGCCTCATTGACAGGTGGAGGGTGGGAGAATCGATCACGCCATGCACAACACACAACCCTTGCGTGCTTTAGAAGACATCGTTGCTTTAGAAGAGGCTGTTAGAACTGCTCTATCAATGGTGAATCTCAGTGAAACCCTCATCATTGTCACTGCAGATCACTCCCATGTTATGACCATTAATGGATATGCCAAGAGAGGAAATGACATTCTAGGTACGTATAAATCTTCAAAGAATAATTTTAACTGCCTTGCATACTTCTTGAATAAGTATGCACATTGAATTATTATTCCTTAACAATCACATAACACCAAATAAAATGTAATGTTAAAGAAAGTTAATAATTGCAATGACAAAATCGAGCCATCAAAACCTTGAGACATTATATGTTCCTTCGGATATTATTTCAAAACACTGTGATCTTCAGAGGCTTCTATTAATCCCATTCTGAAGATATTTCTTTATCTTATTTTGCAGGTATAGGTCACACGCCATCAGATATTGATAACCTGCTTCACACTACTCTTATGTTCACAAATGGCATTGCCTATAATCATTACTGGAATGGTACTAAGGTATGGTATAAGCACATCCTTTTCTTCAACATTGTTCTTATGACAAGCACTATTTATAACAAAGGAACAAAACAAATACTGTAACCCGATGACATAACACTCGCATTATCATTAAATACAAGGTTAACACTCGTAATCCAGCGGTCTGATGGCCTACCACCCACCGAAGTGATTCAGGATTGAGCAGGCCAACAGCACAGCTCAGACGAATGTTTACAACACACTTACATTTGTTTTGCTATATATTGTTGAACAGTATTCTTTTTTTAAGCTTTCCTATGTTTTAGCACTAAACCTTCCCAGGATGCACCATGCTCTGAGCTGCTATGCACCCATCAAGCACACAAACACCCTTTCAATTTATGTTTAAAACAAAATAAGGGGCAGGGAGTTAAGCTGAGTGCATAACTTGATCCAACACCGAGATAACCTGTAATCTATATTTCAAACCACTCTGCATATCGATCTGCAACACGAATTTTCTCGATCTTTCTTACGTTTCTTTTCACTGTTGATGGTAATTCAAAAATCAATTCTCCAAAATTCATTTTTATTTCTAGTCTGACGCGACACTTGAGCGCGTTTCGTAAAACTTATTACATTTTCAAAGACTTTAGTTTACATACACACACACAACTTTAACTGAATAGAGCTTAAACATCTTCGAGTTTTTATACCTACATTTGGGTGAGGTGACATGTTACAATAGTTTTGGATGAGGTGAAAATAAACTTTTAACACAAGACAGGACACGAAACAATGGGTATTAAAGGTAGGTAACTGCAGAAGGCCTATTTTTATTGGCCCATATTTCTTGATGCTTCTATATTGGAGCGGAGTCTTGAAGTGGGTAGAATATAGTTGTGCATTAATTGGCTGTTGATTGCTGGTGTTGACTTCTTGATGTGTAGTGCCTCGCAGATGTCAAGCCGCCTGTTATCGCTGTATCTATCGATGATTTCTGTGTTGTTTGCTAAGATTTCTCTGGTGATGGTTTGGTTGTGGGAAGAGACTATATGTTCCTTAATGGAGCCCTGTTGCTTATGCATCGTTAAACGCCTGGAAGGAGATGTTGTTGTCTTGCCTATATACTGAGTTTTTTGAGGCTTACAGTCCCCAAGAGGGCATTTGAAGGAATAGACGATGTTGGTCTCTTTTAAAGCGTTCTGCTTTGTGTCTGGAGAGTTTCTCATGAGTAGGCTGGCCGTTTTTTTGGTTTTATAGTAAATTGTCAGTTGTATCTTCTGATTTTTGTCTGTAGGGATAACGTTTCTACTAACAATATCTTTCAGGACCCTTTCCTCCGTTTTATGAAATATCTGAAAGATATTGTTAATAGAAACGTTATCCCTACAGACAAAAATCAGAGGATACAACTGACGATTTACTATAAAACCAGAAAAACGGCCAGCCTACTCATGAGAAACTCTCCAGACACAAAACAGAACGCTTTGAAAGAGACTAACGTCGTCTATGCCTTCAAATGCCCTCTTGGGGACTGTAAGCTCCAAAAAACCCAGTATATAGGCAAGACAACAACATCTCTTTCTAGGCGTTTAACGATGCATAAGCAACAGGGCTCCATTAAGGAACATATAATCTCTTCCCACAACCAAACCATCGCCAGAGAAATCCTAGTAAACAACACAGAAATCATCGATAGATACAGCGATAGCAGGCGGCTTGACGTTTGCGAGGCACTACACATCAAGAAGTCAACACCAGCAATCAACAGCCAATTAATGCACAACTATATTCTACCCACCTCAAGACTCCGCTCCAATATAAAAGCATCAAGAAATATGGACCAATAGGCTTTCTACAAACACTTCTATTCAATACCCATTGTTTCGTGTTCTGTCTTGTGTTGATGAAATTAATACCCTATTAATACCACCTCTTGTTCTGTCTTGTGTTGATGAAATTAATACCCTATTAATGCCACCTCACCCCATCCACCTCACTCAAATGTAGATATAAAATCGGAGATACTTAAGTTCTACTCAGTTGTGTATTTGTAAACTAAAGTCTATGAAAATGTAATAAGTTTTACGAAACGCGCTCGTGTCGCGTCAGACTAGAAATAAAAATGAATTTTGGAGAATTGATTTTTGATTTACCTCCAACAGTGAAAAGAAATGTACGAAAGATTGAGAAAATTCGTGTTATGAATTATTAATCTTACTTTTTCGGTCATATTTAATAATATATGTCTACAGGAAAGACTGCTACCAAAATATATATATTATATATATATATATATATATATATATATATATATATATATATATATATATATATATATATATATATATATATTATATATATATATTATACATACATACATACATACATACTGTTTATATAGCATAACAACACCACAAACAATATTGTTGGAGGAGAAATATTAGTGCGTCTGGCCTTGAGGATGGCCGCTACCAGCTGACTGTGTGAGTAGCTATGTCTTTGTGCCTTTACTCACAATACGAGCTTAGATGTACAGTTATGGTAAACAAAACATGTAAATACTTATATATAACGTCTGTGTATAGTGAATAAATGCAAAAACAGTATTGTGGGAGGAGAATGAGGGCGAGCGAGGTGTTGTTGAGGGAGGGAGTAGCAGCGAGTGGCTGGCTGGTGTGTGGCGGTCACTCCTTGCATTTTGATTTACAATACCAACTTAGTGGTTCGTTATGGTGATCAAAACATGCAGATACTTATATATAACCTGTGTATATAGTGTAATAATAGCAAAACTATTTGTTTATTGTTTTATGAACATAATAATTGAATCACTAAGATGCACACCATAATTTTGAGTACAGCGATGGTTCACATATTTTTATATAAATATATCACAATTCACTCTATTGAAAAATTACTGCAAAAAACAAGAAAAAATCAGAGACATTGAAATAATTAGGTAATAATATATTTGTGGCAACTGCCGCCTGACAGTTCGAGTGGAGTAGACCTCGTCTGGCGAAGGCTCTGACAACGCCCCTTTTTTGCCAGACTTCTTTACCCTATTGCGGCTAAAATATGCCACCTACGATTTTTTTTTTTATATTTTCCGTGATCAGGGAACAAAAATGAACACTTCTATAATAGGAAAGAATTTGTTGGAATTTTTGTTGTTGTTGCATCTGTAGGTGTTAAAGCCATTTGGACCCCTAGCGGCTTGAGGGTTAATGTACAGCATGCTTCTGCTACAACATTCTTCTGCAAAGAAAACTTTCAATTAAGTTCTGATGTTTTTCCTTGAAACTTTGTCTGTGTATGTGTTTTTTACTTTAGTATTTGCTTCAGTGTGTGTGGTGCCCAGCAACATTGTCCATCAATGAACTTGAGATCCAGTACAGCTATATTTCATGGTTGCCTTCAGTAGTGCTGTTTGCAAGGACCAATGACCACCAATGGATCTTTTCTTAAAGGCTCCTTAGGTGCCCATGTCAGCTGCTCTATTTCCTCCTAAATTGGATCCCCACAATGACAGTAATTAGGGACATTGTCTTAGAGCCAAGGCCATGGTATTCGGGTTTAGTATGAAAAATACAAACAAACATAGAACATAACCAGGAATCCTGGGTTAGAATTCAGGTTCCAAGATCCCTGGGAAAGTACCCAAGGTCTTTAGGAAACAATTCAGGATCCCAAAGAAAAAACAGATGATTCTCAGAAGTGTGTCCTGGATCGCCAGGACAGTACCTGCTTGAAGGGGTTCTGGGAGTTTTTCTACTCCCCAAGCTCAGCCCGAGGCCAGGCTTGACTTGTGAGAGTTTGATCCACTAGGCTGTTGCTTGGAGCGGCCCACATATCCACCATATCCCAGTTGGTCTGTCACTCCTTGGAGAAAATTATCTAGTTTTCTCTTGAAGTCCACAGTTGTTCCGGCAATATTTCTTATGCTAGCTGGGAGGATGTTGAACAACCATGTACCTCTGATATTTATACAGTGTTCTCTGATTGTGCCTATGGCACCCCTGCTCTTCACTGGTTCTATTCTGCATTTTCTTACATATCGTTCACTCCAGTATGTTGATATTTTACTGTGTAGATTTGGGACCTGGCCCTCCAGTATCTTCCATGTGTATATTATTTGATATCTCTCCCGTCTCCTTTCTAGTGAAAGGAGAGCATTTTGAGAGCTTTGAGATGATCCCAATAATTTAGGTGTTTTATCGCGTCTATGCATGCTATATATGTTCTATGTATTCCCTCTATTTTAGCAATCTCTCCCGCTCTGAAGGGAGAAGCGAGTACTGAGCAGTACTCAAGACAGAACAGTACAAGTGATTTGTATAGTACTGTACAACCCTTGTGATGGGATCCCTAGATTTGAAAGTTCTCGTAATCCATCCTATCAGTTTTCTGACTGACGAAATATTTGCTTGGTTATGCTCCCTAAACGTTAGGTCGTCAGACATTAATCCCAAATCTTTTACATGCTGCATTCCTACCATGGGCACATTTGACTGTGTTTTGTACACTGTATTATGTTTACGGTCCTCATTTTTACCGTACCTGAATACCTGGAATTTATCACTGTTAAATTAAATCACATGTTATTTTCTGTTGCCCAGTCGAAAACTTTATTAATATCTGTTTGAAGTTTTTAATGTCTTTAGCACAGGTAATTTTCATGCTGATTTTTGTGTCATCTGCAAAGGATGATATGAAGCTGTGACTTGTGTCACAGCTTCACACTGAACAAACATTGTGTCTATATCTGATATGAGAATAAGGAAAAGCAGTGGTAGTGTTTCAGATACCCAAGAGAGAATTCCAGATTTCCAGGTGTCAACCCCAGTTCTTTGATGACTTCCCCAGTAGGTCAAGGGGGAGTGGGCTGATGTGATGCCTCCAATGGGTACACAAGTGATAAGTCCCAGAGGCGCAGCGGCTGTGGTGACGTCATGCTTGTTTGCTCGTTTTCTGATTGGAGAGTTCTGCCTACTCGTTCAGCTTTTGGTTTGCAATTTTTTCAAGGAGTTAAA